GGGGGGGGGGGGGGGGTGTTGGGGGTTGGGTCATTGGTGTTCATAAAATGTTACCATACTGCAATGGACTAAAAATTACCTTTGGGCCAAACTTATTTTCAGGTTACTTTATTTGTTCATTTAAAACCCTTATCTCGACAGATAGTGGACATTAAACCCACCTTTTAAACCAGCTTGATCAAAGGTCAATGCATAGTTCTTGTGTATAGAGGCATAGATATACACATTTGTACATGTAATATTGATAAGTTAGAGTTAATTTACATTTTTAAAGAACAGTTAGCAAGCAGGACCTAGTTTGACTTGATAAGTGTTATTAGCTTCAAATAGCACGCTAGAAATATCGTGGTCTGCATTGAATCTTATTTACCTCTTTCAATGGTGCAGTTATTGATGCAGTCTCTGTATTGGGGGAATATTTGAAAGATGACCCATGGTTGAAGCTCCTCCGTAGCAAATTAAAGTAATTACATATGTTTTTCTTTTCATTTATATCCATGTCAATAATATTAAAATTCAGACTTCAGATGATAGTTTCAAGGGTCAAAACTATGTTTAGTACATAGTATCGGTCAATTTGGAAATGAAGATGATTCAGAAATGTATCATAGGCAGAGTGTAAAAAAATTTAGAATTTTGTTTCTGAAACATTTTGAAACATTATCCGAGACATACCAAAACAATCTGTAACCCTCAGAGACATACCAAAACTATGTTTAATATTCAATGCCTAATTTATTTTGGTCATTTTGGTGGAAACGAAATGAAATTTTCTTCCTTGGCTAGTTTATATTAATTAATGACCACAATATAAAGTACTTTATTTTTGCAAACATGGAAAGTAAGGCTGATCCAAGAACTTTTCTTCAAATGGTTTCTCTTGAGATTACTTACTATATCTACTGTAATGATTGCATTTGCAGGCTAAATTGTGAAGAGCCATCTAAAGCACCAGATACCATAATTAATGTCATACAGGTACAAAGACCAGTAGAGGTTTATTCCACAAGTAAATCGATGCACGTCTTTTGCCTCCACGGGATTATCAAACTTTCCCTTTGGGTTTTTCTCTTTCTTGCTATGTGTGGATTATTTTTGTAAAACTTCTTCCAATGTTTCAATGGAAATTGAAAGCTTAGATCAAACTTACAAAGAAGAAAAGCCATACATAGAAGAGAAAGAGAAAAGTACCAGCTACTCTAATATTACATGATAATAATACTAGTTACAAGTGACTCGATATAAAAAAACCCTACTATAAGAGAAGACTAAAATTCCTTAATGTGAAATAAATATGAATATGAATACAATATTAACACACTCCCTCAAACGCATGATGTGACAGTAGGAAGTGTTGAGAGTTTGTCTAGAACGAAAATGAATATGCAACATAATGTGAAAATTTGTGAAAAAGTTGGCCAACTGCATAACAGAAGAAACAAAATGCAAAGAAATAGTTCAAAATAAAAGATGGTGGCACATAAAATAACAGTCGATCTCGATATGTTTATTTTGCTCGTGAAAAATAGAATTATGTGCAATTTGAATAGCACTCTTATTGTCACAATACATAGAATTAGGAGTAGAAAAAAAACTCCTAGATCAATAAGTATCCCATCCAAACTTTCTCTGCTGTAATAGTAGCCATTGCACGATATTTAGTCTCAACAGGAGAATGAGCAACAACAGTTTGTTTCTTGCTAATAGGAAATTAGGAAGAACAAAGCAAGTACTGTCAAACACATGCAAAGAGAAGTAGTTAGGAGGTTAAACATATGGCCATTCAAAAGGGAAAACACCCGAAGTAGTAATAGAAGGAATGTGGTTAATGAAATGATCAACCGTGAGAACTGCCTCTCTCTAAAAAGAGCTAGGAACATATGTAGATATAAGCATTGAGTGAGCAGTTTCCATAATGTGTCTTGTGTTTTTGTTCAGCCACACCAGTGTTTTGAAAAACGCGCCAAGGTGCAGCAACTTTCAGAGAAGTGAGGAAAAAGCGAGCGCCTGACTGAAATTTTTAATTTTTTTTCTTCTTCTATTCTACCCTTCCTTCTTCTTCTTCTTCTTCTAATTCTTCCCCTTCTTGTGATACTTATCGGTGACTGGGAAGTTCACTACATCAAACTGCTCCTGTATTATACTAGCAAGCTTATAGTGACGTTATGTTCTTTTCACCTACTTTTTTTGATGATTCTTATAATTCTTCTCCTGATTTTCTGATTCTTCTTCTACTTCTGATTTTCTAGTTCTTCTTCTTCTTCTTCTTCTCCACTTCTACTTGTTCCTTTCTTCTTCATCTGATTTTCTTGAACTCTATTTCTATTTTTCTTTGCTATAATGCTCCTTCTACTGAAACTCTTGGAATCCTGCTTCTGNACGAAAATGAATATGCAACATAATGTGAAAATTTGTGAAAAAGTTGGCCAACTGCATAACAGAAGAAACAAAATGCAAAGAAATAGTTCAAAATAAAAGATGGTGGCACATAAAATAACAGTCGATCTCGATATGTTTATTTTGCTCGTGAAAAATAGAATTATGTGCAATTTGAATAGCACTCTTATTGTCACAATACATAGAATTAGGAGTAGAAAAAAAACTCCTAGATCAATAAGTATCCCATCCAAACTTTCTCTGCTGTAATAGTAGCCATTGCACGATATTTAGTCTCAACAGGAGAATGAGCAACAACAGTTTGTTTCTTGCTAATAGGAAATTAGGAAGAACAAAGCAAGTACTGTCAAACACATGCAAAGAGAAGTAGTTAGGAGGTTAAACATATGGCCATTCAAAAGGGAAAACACCCGAAGTAGTAATAGAAGGAATGTGGTTAATGAAATGATCAACCGTGAGAACTGCCTCTCTCTAAAAAGAGCTAGGAACATATGTAGATATAAGCATTGAGTGAGCAGTTTCCATAATGTGTCTTGTGTTTTTGTTCAGCCACACCAGTGTTTTGAAAAACGCGCCAAGGTGCAGCAACTTTCAGAGAAGTGAGGAAAAAGCGAGCGCCTGACTGAAATTTTTAATTTTTTTTCTTCTTCTATTCTACCCTTCCTTCTTCTTCTTCTTCTTCTAATTCTTCCCCTTCTTGTGATACTTATCGGTGACTGGGAAGTTCACTACATCAAACTGCTCCTGTATTATACTAGCAAGCTTATAGTGACGTTATGTTCTTTTCACCTACTTTTTTTGATGATTCTTATAATTCTTCTCCTGATTTTCTGATTCTTCTTCTACTTCTGATTTTCTAGTTCTTCTTCTTCTTCTTCTTCTCCACTTCTACTTGTTCCTTTCTTCTTCATCTGATTTTCTTGAACTCTATTTCTATTTTTCTTTGCTATAATGCTCCTTCTACTGAAACTCTTGGAATCCTGCTTCTGTTTTTTTTAATGGTTTTCTACTTCTGCTCATCTACTGGAACTCTTTTTTTTTTTCTATTATTTATACTGTTTTGTTATGTTCATTTGTTCTAATGTGGTATGTTAATTTGCTCTGTTGTGTTATGCTCGTTTGTTCTAATGCGGTATGTTAATTTGCTCTGTTGTGTTATGCTCATTTGTTGCTTACCAGTTTATTATTCTGTTTGATTATATTCTGGAATTTTGTCATTACAGCTAAATTTGTTTATTGGATGACAGTGTAATATTTGCTTGTTTTTAAACTATTCACTTTGCTTTGATGAAGTGCTTGTTTTGCCTTTCGCTTCTCACCTAGGCCTCAGGTGACCGGTTCGCTTCGGTTTGCTTTACGTTTGAAATAACACTGAGTCACACTATTTTGCTCAGGAGTGTCTGCATAAGAGGACTGCGGAATAGTTCTATTAGATTTCAATACAAGAAAATTAGTGTATCTGTATTCCTCACACAAATCACACAAAATATTTAATAACTGAAGAATATTATGTGTGAATCATGCAAGGAAAAGCAGAACAGTGAATTTGGCAAGTTTGCAATCATCAACAGGCCTATGTCCAAGGGTGTCATCCTCTACCCTAGGTAGTCCAAGAGTGGTAATTATGAGAGTTGCAAAAAAACTGAACTCAATCCCACAAATATACGTAATAAAGTGGTCTGCATGGGGATTAGACTCTCGAATATGATTGTAAAACTCTAACCATGTCCTCATTCGTAGGCTTGGGGGCCATAAAGAGTTGACGCCATCCTCGATTGGCGAAATTCCAAGGAATCAAAAAATTTACCTCATCAAAGTATACCCCTCGCTCAATAATCACTGGCCTGTGACCATATTCATCCGTGTACCTCTCTGCGTACTCTGGAGTCTGAAATAGAGTGCTTTCATCAAAGATCACCTTGACTTCTTCAGGGACTTCATCAACCCTAATCCTCTTCTCTTCGGAGAGGCATGACGATAAACACTATGAATTTAGGTCTCAAGCGTATGGATTTTACAAATCAACAAGTGCATCGACCCTAGAATATGTTATAATGTGCTTGAGAATGTTTTTGAATGATGGTTGAGGATTTTGGAAGGCTAGGATCTCAACATGAGGTGTTCAGGATGTAAAAGGGTCAACCATTTTCATATTTGAAACCCTAGGCGCTGACCGGTCGCAGGGGTCACTCGAACGGTGTGGGGATCGCTTGGGCTGTCCCTGATGCTGTGCTATCCAACTGACAGTTCAGTATTCCGTGCCAGTTTGGGCAACTGACAGTTCAGCATTCTGCCCCTGTTTGGGCAACTGATGATGATGTGCTGTCCAACTGACAGTTCAGAATTTTAGGGCAAAATCCTTTTTACACCCATATGGATTACCCCTTTGCTACTTTAAACTCTTATTGTTCAAATGTACTGCCAATTCACCCTCCTGTTTTCTGACTAAAGTTCTACTGTTACAATTTCAAATGATTTTTTGGTCAAGTCTTGGATGTGCATAACTTGCAAATTGTTTTTGTTGATCTATCTTACATACCTAGTTGGGTAGAAGAAGAATATAGTGAGGTGTATTGATTTTTCAGATTAACACGGTAGAATTTGAAAATGACCGGACCAATTAGCACAAATAATGAATGGGTTAGGTTAGTATTACACAAAAATAACCTGTTTACTGCTAATATAAAATGAAGATGTATTTTGTAATTTCTTGATCTAATATTGTATGAGGTGTTTTAGAATTCAATGAATTTGGTAATCAAGACGAATGTGACAAGAACACAATGTGAAACTGAAACAACACGACCAGTTGATAGTTCTAAACTTGGAAATGCTACACAAATATTAAGTTAGTGTAGTAATTCGACTTGGATATGTTCTGTAATATGCCCATGGATGCTTGATAGGAAAAGGAGGGAATAGCATGGTATTGCTGGTTGCTGTCTGCACGAGAATATTTGAAGATGCATCTTTTTTTTTAATGTTTAATACTTGATATTTACTTCCTAGTTTTAAAGTGACAATTCTCTTTTTCCCTTTATTTCATCAGGGAAAAAAGGGGTTTGAAAAGAAAGCTACCAGGGCTGGAAGGCAAACAAAAAAGGCCAAGGTGGAGACAGATTCACAAAATATCAAACACATGTTTACCAGGGCTTCAAGAAGAGGAAGATGAACCTTTTGAACTTAATTGGAAACAGCTGGCTTATCAGTTTCATGAATCTGGTGCCTTTTTTTCCTCCTTTCTTGGATTCTGTGTTATTGGCTCACTTGGGCACTACCTCACTCATACATGCCTGCATGAAATCCCATTGTTTTAACATTAGTGGTTTAACTTAAATTGTTCCCGGATTGATATTTAGCAAGTATCAATGTATCTTCAAGATTGATACTAGGAATAAACCTTGTAACTTCAGGGTGATGTTTAGTCTTGCTGTATGTAACAAATTTGGGATACAGTTGGGGTGCATAGATGTTACAGTTTCATTTGGTATACTGTAGCATGATATTTGATGCATGTAATACTAGCGTTGATATAATCTGCTTAGATTGGGTTGTCAGTACAAGATCGATCTGCAATGCTGCAGGGATGGCAAAGTGGGTCCTTTCCTGCGTTGCAAAGTGGGACAAGACAGGACGCGAACTTCCAGATTGTATTAGATTTTGGAATGGCTCTGCTCTCTTAAATGTTGTCTAGGTATAAACTATCGGTAGTTTTTCACTTGCGGGGATGGGTTGGGGGCTTGCTGATTGTTAAGAGGAAAGAACAGGAAAATATTTATCCACCGCCCTGGAGTTGTTAGAGGTTGGAGTTGTTAGAGGTTTTGCGGTGTTTATACCCCATATTAATAAAAACAGATACACAACCCATTAATTTATGAGTGGGTTGGGCGGGTTGACGGGTTATGAATTGGTATAATTATAGGGGGTAGAATGGGTTTAAAATGGGTATCCAATGGGTTTCCTTAGAAACAAGAGATACCGACATAAAATGCCAGGGTCCCGTCGCCTCGTCGGTTACGATGGAGGAAAAAATTGAGTCTCTCACTCCACTCCCCCTCTCTCTTCTCGTTCTGGATGGGTTAGGAACGATACCTACAAGTTGAAATTTCACATTGCCATATTTCTTAATCCTTGTTATAAGTTAGTTTGTTGAATTTGAATTTGCAAAGTTTGATCCCGAAACATGCGAAGAAAAGATAAGAAATGTTCTTATATAGTTGTATTCACTGTTAGGATCATGATTACAATTGGATAATTTTTTGAATTTTTTTTTGTGAATTCTTTTTTTTTTTGTTCAATGATTATAATGCTACAATGTTGAAGATCTAAAATTGTCAATAAAATGGAGGAGATTGTTCTTCAATCTACATCAAAAGAGTCTTTTGCACCTTCTTGCTTACGAAAAAGGTAAAGACCTAGAGATTAGCACCCTTAGTTTAATTCATTCGAATTAGGTTGATTAGGTAAAATGGAATCGGTGATCGTTCCGTTAAGGACTTTGGTGTTTTTCAAGAAATTTTTTTCTAAATTTTAAATGTATTTTGATAACATAGATTGGAGTTATTAATCAAAACCCAATTCAGTGACACCCTTTA